GGTTGTTCAGAGTTAAACATAGGTGAACACGAATCAATTTAGCATATTCTCCAAAAGTGTGAATCACGGACATACTAGGATGAGGTTGACAGATAGGACAAAATGGTGGGAGATCCGATTGACCTATCTTATGAAGACAGACTTTGTTGCTTCAGCCTATGTCTTTTATCTCACTGCAGATTACGAGATTATCCAATACTGAATTGCCGCACAACAGACAGAAATTTCGCGAATAATCTGTCCTACCTTTCCCTTCCATCCAAAGACCAATCGTCTGATAGGAAGGTTTCAGAGTGTTCACCAATTGAAATCAATCGCCTATGTCTGAGATTACCTTTATCGCAGAGAGTAGTGGATTGCCTCCCAGAACATGTAATATCTATACTTTTCGGCAAAATTTAAAAATCGGTTAGATTTCGCCAGTACAAAAGATTTCGAGGATAAAAGGGATCATCTGAAATGACAGGAAGATCAGGAAAACGTAGAGGATACGGTTAGTTATCTTTGGATAGTCTTCACTCAGGAACCTTTTCTAAACGAAGAACTAGAATCAAGTACAAATTCAAAAAACCGTCTGCTCAACATGGACTTTGATCAAGACTATGAACTTAGGGCCCTTAGCACCTTAGATGTGGAAACGTCAACAGGACCGAATGAACTACACCTCAAAATTTTGAGACATATTGCCCAATATATCGAGGCCTCACTGACTGTGATATTCAATATGTCACTTGACCAAGGTGTGTTACCTATGGACTGGAAGAATAAAGTCGTCACTCTCATACATAAAACAGGATCAAGACAACTTAAATCGAACTAGAGACCTGTAAGCCTCACCAGTGTTATAGTTAAAATATTGGAAAGAATGGTCAAGAATACCATAATGACATTTGTGGAAACCAACAACCTGTTAAACAACGAACAACATGGTTTCTGAAAGGGTTTATTTTGTACAACAAACCTCTGTATAGTAAGGGAATATTGGATAAATGTGCTAGACAACGGAAACTCAGTAGATGCTGTCTACATAGACTTCAGCAAGGCTTTCGACAAGATGCTAACAAATAAAATGCTACTGCAGTTAGAAAATTTTGGTATTGCCAGACCTCATTTAAAACGGCTTAAGGATATCCTGGTAGGTCGTAGATAGAAAGTGAGAACAAATTCCAAGTGCACCACCTGGAGACCAGTACTTAGTGGAGTACCTCAAGGTTCTGTCTTAGGTCCTTTACTTTTTATAATGTATGTTAATGATCTCCCAAGTATAGTACAGTCATCAATGTTATTATACGCTGACGATGTAAATATCTGGCAAGTAATAACTGGAGACACAGATGCATATGCTTTTCAGACAGACTTAAATGATGGGATTAAGTGATCTAAAGAATGGCTGATGCCTAACAACGCGGCAAAATGTGTCTATATGCGCGTTCGGGATACAAAGGTTAATGGGTACAGCGTGGGGCAAGTTCCCGTACCCATGGTCCGGTCTCATAACGATCTTGGGGTGACAGTGAGTCATGATCTTGAGGCCACGGTCCATTGCCGGAAGGTCGCATTTAAGGGGCCTAGAACCTCCTGGCCTTTAAGACGGACATTCACCAAGTCAGATACCACCATGATCAGTACAGTATACTCAACATTAGTAAGAACTAAGCTTTAGGACTGCGTTCAGGCTGCAAGCCCCTGTTTAAAATGTGACTCAGGTATCCTGGAAGACGTACAGAGTATAGCTACTCGTGCGACTCTAGAACTCCGTGGTTTACCATAAAATGAGTGGCTTGAAAAGCTGGACCTCTTTAATCTATTTTATCGCAGACTAGGTGGAAATCTCATCTTGATATAAAGAATACTAAGGTATGATTTTTGACCCAACACATTCTCTCTTTCTCTGTCCACTGGATCGGGATATTTCAGAGGACATAGCAGATGAGCAGAAAAATCAAGGGCAAACGAAATACCCGTGACATACTGGTTTTCACGCTGAGTCATCAATTCATGGAACCTTTTACCCAAAGAAGTGGTGTCTGCACCTCTAATTGATTCAATAAAGAGAAGACTGGACGCTCATACTGAGAAAGGAATAACATAGACCGTAGGCCTTCTGTCTTTACTACATAGATCTGAATTTGACCTCCTATACTTACCCCTAAAAAACAAAGACTGAAGATTGAATATATACTGAACGATGTTATTATGTCTTTTCTTTACCTTCCATCTAGAACTGACTGTTTGAGCAAAAAGTTCAAGAAAGTTCAAGAACCGAGATCAAATTGTTTTAGCATGGGTTTCCGTTTTCTGCATCAAGTAATGAATTACTGAAATCCCCTACTGCAATATAAGCATCTGTTGATACATTAAAAATGATATCGACTCTCCACAGTACTACAAGTCGCAAGAATTAATACAGGTCGATTAAACTCCCAACCTAACTATTTAACTACTGGTCTTGGTTTCACTCATATCCTGATTCTAGGGGACTTCAATCTCCCTGGAGTCAACTTCGTAGAACATACATACATTGGAGGTGAAAACTGAACTGAGGCTCGATTCTTCAACCCCATTGAGGACTTGGGATTATACGAAAATGTTAAGTCGGTAACTCGTTGGAGAAACTGTCAGACACCATCGCGCTTAGACTGTGTATTTACAAACGAAGAATTCCTAGTTGACAACCTCTCAATCCTGGGTCCCCTGTTATAACTTTCAGTGTTGTCAGCAAAACTGAGCTAAGATATCCCACCAATAACTTGCGTTGGAATTTCAAACGGTTGAATGTATAAGCTCTACAGAACTATCTACAATAGGTGGATTGGGATGTTCACCCTCGAGTTGATGTGTATGCTCATTGGGACTTCTTACTGCTCATGCTCAAATGTGCTTCAAGTCATTCAGTTCCTAAAACGGTCCCCCATAGCTGTCAGCAACCCAGAATCATCTGGAACCACACTCTTCGGCTGCTAAGCCGCAAAAGGCACTGTTGGGCAGAGTACAAACGAACTGACAACAACGGAGCGTACAGGCACTACAAACATATAAGGAACATATGCACAAAGGCTATAAGAGAAGACAGGCTTCAGTACTAGACAAAGCTTATGGACAAATTTGTCTCTAATCCGAAAAGCTTATTCCGTTATGCAGCCTATCTTCGTCATGCCAAATTTGAGGTTTCCAAACTGCTAGGTCTTAACGGCCCGACCAACGACGACGGCAACGCCGCTAACCTTTTGGCTGAACAATACTCTTGGACATTTCAGCCGACCCATATAAACTATACTGACGAAAGCTTCGTCTGCAACTCAAAAGGACTTTTCGAAGTGAACCTGAGCGCTGAGTTGATGTTCCGGAAACTTCAGTACTTAAGATTAGACGCTTCTCCTAGACCGGATATGGTTCATTCTGCCATACTGAGGGAAGCAGCCTCAATCCTGACAACGCCGCTTAGCGTAATGTTCTCACGCTCGCTAAGCCAAGGAAAACTACCGGAAACTTGGAAGCTGACTCACATCACACCAATTTTCAAAGGAGGTCGACGCAGCTAACTTTCAAGTTACCTACGGGTGGCTTTTCTCTCAATACTTTCAAAAATCATGGAGTTTTTGATATACGATGGTATAAATGACTATTTACTGTCCTAAAATTTCTTCTGACCTCATAAGCATTGTTCCAGAAAGGGCATCTCTTGTATTACCAACCTGCTGACTGCGGTGGACAGATGGACAAGCATCCTTGATCACAAGGGGAAGGTTGATATCATCTACCTAGATGTCTCAAAAGCTTTTGATAAGGTTAACCATACATGTCTTATCAATAAGCTCAAACGATTGGGTATCAGACCACCTTTAATCGATTGGCTCATTTCATACCTGAAAAATCGACATTTTAAGGTCAGGGTTAATTTTACTTTCTCTCAGTTTATGGAATGTACTAGTGGGGTCCCCCAGGGCTCAATACTACTACCTCTTCTCTTCTTGATCTACATAAATCATCTTCCTCAACAAGTAACATCAAACTTATTACTTTTTACCGACGATGTGAAACGTTGGAGAGAGATACGCAACCAAGACGATATACAGGCACTTCAGGAGGATCTGACTGGCCAGACGATAACGGACTTACCTCTAACATTTCAAAGCGTAAAGTAGTCCATCTGCGAAATGTCGCAAACTACAGATATAACTTGGGAAACTTTTCTCTAGCAGTATCCCAAATCGAAAAAGATTTAGGAGTCCTGGTGCTAACCGTGACAAAAATGCCTTCCGAGCAAACCTTGCACTGGTAACATTGAAGCGCATTTTTGGCCAGTTTGACAGAAGAACTGTCCATTTAATCTTCAATAGTTCTATCCGTCCCCAGTTAGAGTACGGAAACATAGTATTTCCCCCCTCACTCCATAAGGATAAAGACACCCTGGAGCGTATCTAACGGCGAACCACGAAATCAGTTCGAGGACTCAAATTTAAACCTTACGAAGAGCGCGACCATTCACTTAACCTTTACCCATTAGAGTATGGACATCTTAGAGGTGATCTTCTGATGGCTTACAGTATCCTCAACACTTCTGGACATCCTCTCAAACACCTAATTAAGCTTAGTTCCACCACTAACCTAAGAGGTAACACCCAAATCTGGAGACACAACATAGCAGAACGGGCTGTAGACACAACTTCTACTCCTTAAAAGTTGTCAAATGCTGGAATTCACTGCCGGCCGAGCTAGTCCAAGCGACTTCACAGGAGTCCTTTAAGAGGCAACTTGATCTATTCTTAAGGATTAAGAATAGTATCACACTATGATTCACCAATTTCTTTTTCCTCTTTTATTATAACATACCTAGGTTCCTGTCCGTAGGTTCTGGTGATCCCCTTCTACTAGACACAGAATCCTGTTAAGCGAAAGCTTCTTCTATTACGTCCACAACCATTTGAACCATTGGAGTTTGAAGCGCACAGGTTACTATTTGCGCTACTGCAATTGCCCATTGCTTGAAATCGATCTATATGAAAAATAAAAGACGAGATAGAGACTTTTATTATCATCCACGGTACAAAACAACCACTGAAGATCACGGGAATTCTCATAGTGTCAGAACTGGTCAAAATATCCCTGTTGCTTCGACAGAACCACACAGCAATCATAAATATAGAATCGATTCGTTACATCCACAGCATTCCCAACAAAAATCTCTTGTTAGTGAAACCAAAAACACTCGCTACACTCAGGGTTGTAAAAATACCAGTAATCTAGTATCTGGTGGTTTCACTCATGTGTCAGATTTAAATTCCAGTTCCATTGATGGTAATACGAAACCGGTCGTTAGTACGTCACTACATTTCAGCGACTCCAGATCCGTCAGTACCAATAGACAGTTTGCTTCAAAACCACGTCAAGAATCTTTTACCACGAGTCCCAATATACACAATTCACGTGTGCTAACGAGTACCTCTGTAGATTTGACACCAGAAAATTCTACAGAAAAACATGGTGGACTTATTCTTCTTCCGAAAGATGTGGACATATTCCAACAAAGTACTCAAAACTCAAAGAGCTTCCGACGTGAGGCAGTTCGATGTAGGTCGTTTACTTTAAGAACATGAATATTGTGTATCATTTGATTTCATAAGTAGCTCTACATAAAATGTAATTCGTCCCACCAGACAGATGCCTACGCAGAACAGATGGTCAGGCTCTTTTATCACTATGACTTGATGGACTGAGATTCTTGTTGCTTTAGGTTGTGACATACTGACCTTACCTACCGCTGTTTCATACAGACTAAGGATAATTGTTACGCTAACTTCCTCTTCATAGTTTTGTTTGTCATATAGAACTCTCAGTACACCATAGAATTCGCAGCGGCATATTTATCACTAAAGCTTAGTGCTTTGTAGTGTTTTCGATAGTGATTTGGTGTTGCACTCTTAGTCGTTATTTTAATATAAGTGCATATTTACCGAGAATTCAGATGTGCTCTAGAACAGTACTAATCTTTGTACAACTTTATTGGTAACGTGACAGTGTTGTTTACCATCAAACTGACAGCTTCGGATGCATTAAAATTTGCTTTGCACCAGGAATTATTGTGTACTAATATTAAATGTTCAGTAAAGGAGGAATTTATTGTATAAATGTCAACGTTACTTCAAAGATATTTACGTAAAACAGACTTCCAAGCGATAGTTTGTTGGTCCAAGTTTCCACGCCTCATCAGCACATCTGGACGAAGTTAAAAGGTGGGAAATAAGGAATCAGTATCATAGTCAGTCGGTCATTAAATATATCAATAATCATAATGTTTAGTAACTTCAATAAACACACATGGATAAAACATATATAGGACCCAGAGTTATTGAGACTTTGATTTAAAACTAAACATAGGTTTTGTTTCGTCAGGTTTCAAATTATTCACTTCTCTGTTTTCTAAGTTATATAAGCTAGTCGTTTAAATACGTTCCAGCAATCCATTGAGTCACTGACTTCGAATGGACTGTTTAGATAAACACATCTACCTGGTTTGGGTTTTACCCACCCATCGTGTACGGTATCTGGAGACGCTGGGCGAAATGTCACAGATCCATCCGCTCTATCATAACTTGTACCCTGAGTTCCAAGCTATCTTCTACTTTCTATCCCACGAATTCTTCATGTCATGCTGTCTATGCTTAATCTTCTCTATTACCACTGCATTGTTAACACTGAAATTCGTCCTAATAGTCTCATCTCACTGTGATGATATGTGATGTGATAACTTGAAATGATGTACATATGTCAGTCTCTTGCATATGACTAACTGACGGACTGATCTAAAATTGCTAAAATTCCTAATGATTTCCGTCTGATTTTAGTTTTATTTGGGGGTTTTTTTAGTCTGCAGCGATACTCAGGTTTTTTCTTCGAAGATACTTATCAGCAGTGCTTTTTAAGTGTCTGCTTCATGCTGTTGTTGATTCCATATTAGTACAGTAAGTGATTTCATCTACTTCCATAGTTTGTGTAGTTTTAACTCACTCTCCAACTATTTGAAAAATGTAGACATCTAGTACTTATGATTCTATTGGATTATTATCTAAACTCCTTTTATCAGCTGATTCAACCAAACCAGTCGTTGTTGTCCGTCCAAGCTTCTCCAATCCATACAATCATTCCAGAACTACTAGCACTAGATTAGATTCACATGGAGTTGACGAGTCAAAATGTATCAGTCAATGTAAACAGAAATCAGACAATGATATGAGTCCACGCTGTTTTGTCAGTGACGCTTCTAACGAATCGCCCACCACTGTTTTACCTGTTCCATGGACAGACGCTGCAAAAGCTGCTTTCTATCAGTTTTTCAAAACTCAAACCAAATTTGGTTCATCTTCGTCTCTTCAAGCCGAAAGACCATCCTCAACACATCATTTCGCTAATCAACCGACTTGTTTATCTCCAGGATCAACAGTCATCCAGCCTCCAAAGTAAGCAAAACCGTTTTGCTTACAAATGTGTAAGAATTATATTGTTTCGCGTTTTTAAGCCGTTATTAGAATGGATTTCAATTCAACAATTTCCTTTTTCGCTATTGATTAGTCTAGTATATATTTTGTGCCATCAGTTAAATGGAAGTAATATGAGAAAAAGCTGTACAGGACTGGCTTCTGTTGGTCCTTCACGACTCCCTGTTTGGAGTCCTAAAGATGGTGCGACATAGTGGCTACGGACGTTATCAGATATGACCCAGAATAGAAGCCAGTGGCGATTCTGCTGTAATTTTATTTTGTTTCATAAAAAGTGAATGTAACTTCTTTAACTGGAACAATTCTTTCTGCTTGTACCTCTTCTAACTGAACTGCTTCTCTCATTATTATTATACTATCATACACTAATTTCTGTTCGTTATTGTTCCCCCTTTTCTTATATACACCTCCATTCTCATTGCTATTGTGTGGCGCATATGTATCTGGTGCCCCTTTGTGCTAATATGTGTTCAGATTAATATATTCATAAGTAGTAAATATATAGAAGTGTGCAGTATTCACTATGGAAAGGAAAAAAATGTGATATTCAATGGTAAAATGGAGATTGACATATATGCCTTCATTTGATTTATTCTTTCAACTTCTTCCTACATGATAATTTATTAGTTCACCCTTAGATTATTCTTTGCTCTCTTCACTGACTTTGGGAAGCTGAGTTTTTAATCGGACGTTGAATATTTGAGTTTATGCGCGTACCATCAGCAAACAATTCCACCATCTGTTAGTGAATTTTTTTTATTATGGTATATCGAACTACCAATGAGGTTACAGTCAGAAATCGTTCCAATAAGACTAAATTCAACAAAACTCGGTATTATTTAGTAGAAGGTACAGTTATGCATATATATACATATATACCTGGCTTTCAGCCACTTGCTGTTTAGACGTTGTTTCTACCGATTATTGCACCAATAATAATAGTATGTGTCTACGTAGTCGGCTGTAAATCACTGTTTTGTGTAGAAGCTAGTGGTGTCCATTTCAGTTACCTGATTGACTTCCGCACAACATTCGCGATCAGTAATTGGTGACACTAGGTAACATTGCTTTAAGTCAATTACAGGGAATGGAGTACAACCCATCTAACCTCTAAATCTTGAGTCCCATTTTTCCTTCATACATATCTTCTCATTACTTTTGTATGCCGTATTTTGGATGCATATAAATTATTTTACTGAAGCCATATGTATAATTAACAGTTATAGTTATATAGTAATAATCTTCTGTTAAATTTCTGTTTATTGATCAAGCGAAATGATTGCATCAACTATGCAACAAATTGTTCAACTTGATGCTACTCTATCAGCTCTACTCATTCCACCTGGTCTATGTGCTCAATCAATGGTGTTGTTCGAACCATTACAATCGGATCCTGAATTAGGAAGAGAATGGACGGAATCAGAAGCATTGTTTTTACGTTGGTGGGGTACAGTGAAGCGACTTCGTGATAGTTTATTTTTACTATTTGAAAGTGTAATAGTTGCAGATTTGGACTTCTGCAATACGGCACATGTTGAACAAGGTATGTGGAAGTCGGTATTTTACACTGTCTTGGAATCACTTCGTTCATGGATCGAAAATCCACAATCTACACAGTATGTTGTTTATTAATCTTATTCATTTAGTTATAGTAATAAGTGGTAGTAATACTATTAATTTCATTCAATTAACAACTCAGCATTAGGTTGTTTTATTAAACTGAAGTTGGTTTTATTATATTTAAACTTGAAATTCATTGATTACAAGTCAAGCAATTACACCTCCAAGTCACTGATTACCATAAATTTGATAAAACGCACGAAATTTTGTAGCGTATGGACATAGTCAATTTGATGACATCAAACAAAAATAAGACGTAGCTCATTAATTTCATCCAGTTTTCCGGTAGCGGACGCTCCACGTATAACATGTCACATAAACGATATAGCGTAAATTTGAGTTAGTTAACATATATTTGGTCAAATGAATTGTAAATTGTCTCTCACTACTCACTCATTTATATCTAGGAAAAAGCGCGTTTCATCCTATTTGGGACTCATTAGCTGGATGTACCTGCATCCCAGAGTTGATGTTCACTCTGGGACTCGAACCAAGTAGCGTTCATCTCAAACGCCATCACGTTATCCACTTAGCTACTGAGTCCCAAAGGTTGTGATGGAGGTGGGATCCGAACCCATGCCCTTTCGGACTTGTGCTTCGGTCTGGGCACTCGGACAGTATCACAGCCCTCATACAAACGTGATGAGATGTATGGCGCATATGTATCTGGTGTCCTTCTGTAGTAATATTTATATGTTCATGTAAATAATAAAATAAACTCATATTAATGTTTCGTTTTTATCTAATCGTTGTAATTATTACCTGGCTTGGATCCACCTCTTGGTCTTATAGTAACTAAAAGTGACCAGTTAGAAATCTTTTATTCACTTTTCCTGTTTACCAAAACATCATTGCAGACTTGAAGAAACATATGTTCATGAAATTCAAATCTTCGTCAAGTGTCCTAGCAACAAAAACATTTTCTGTTTGGCAGTTTGAGCTACTGAGCTGCTGAGAAATCGATTTATTTTTCCAAATTTGGTGATGTATTAAGTGTTTGCTCTGCTGCTTTTCTTATTCGACGTATCATAATGTAACTGGTTATATCATCCGTGGAATGTGATTTCAGAGATAAAGATTTCATCGGTACTGTTGGTGATCTTACTTTAGATTTTGTTACACGCATGTTTCATTAGGTACTTTGATGGATATTCAGTAGATCATAGGTACGTTTTATATCCTCTCCATTAGTATCATCAAAACAAAATGTTTGGTAAATTTTGCTCTTGATGTATTGGGACAAAGCTTAAAAGTGTGTATATCCACTCGGCTTAATCAGTTCACGATAAATATTTTTTGATCCCCACTTTAGGTTTTCTCGTCAATGAGACGTCTAGAGAGAAGGGGTGATCTCAGTTTTGTCTTCTTTGGTGAAAGTAACTGCTTGATAGATTCTGTTGAACATCTCTGAAAAGCTCTGCGCTTCGTCCTAGTTTTTTAGAACTATCATGGTGTCATGCATATAGCGACAATAAAATTATGACTTATTACACTTCTTGAAGAATCGTCTACGTAGTGATTCCAATAAGGAGCTTTATGAACAGGGTGATATAGCCATTGAAATAGCAACACAATGCATAAGAAGATTCATAAAATGAACATTCAATACAATAAGACTATGTTTTTATTCCATCTGCCGACCAATAGTAACTTCACAAAATAAAGATAAGTTACCTTGTTCCGCCGTCACTATATGTATTTACCAGTTCAACCACGCTTGTGTAGCCAGTTGTATTTAGCGTGCAACCAGACATTTATATCATACTTCTGAACACTGTCCCTCTTGTTTGTCAAAGAAGGAAAGAGAACAATAAGAAGTTTTAATTTATAATTTTATACCTACACAATCCATCTATCTTAGTAATCTGATTATCTAATTTTCATTCCACCTGTTTTATTACTTACTTATTGCTTTCTTTACAAATAATACTAAACATTTATTTTCACTCGCTTGATTTTAGACTCATTATTTTTATTCTTACGTAGCGGGTTGCTGCCTTTAGGTTTAATTTCATATCCGTTGAGTTACGGACTGTGCTCGCTATCACATCTGAATGTTCCAGTGTACATTAAAATAATAATAAACGTTTTGTTAAACTGCTATTTTTAATCGTATCTTAGGTTAATTCCTAAACTAGAGAAAAATCCTGAGACTATAAAACTTCTTCAAAGTCAATTAATTAACCTTATTCAAAAAATTTGCTTATCTGAAGTGATCGATTCAGGATCAAATCAATTAGCGTCTTTACTTGAACGTATACAAAGCATACATCATATTCAACTTGGTCCATTATTATCAGATGGTAGACCACCTCCAGAAACAAAATCAAGAACTCGACGATTAGTCTATTTAAGTGCTCAAAAATTAATGCTATTCCTTGGCGATTTAGCTCGTTATAGAGAAACTTTAGTTGGTGAACGAAATTTTGGTAAAGCACGAAAGTAAGTTTAAGTTTAACACATAAAGTAACGATTAATTATTTTCAATCACATAAAATAGGTAACATTAATTTTTATTTGGTACTTACTGAATCATCTATTTTTGTACTGATAATATTTTTAGCCATGGAAGAACATACTTATATATCCGACTTAAAGTTACTTTGTAAATCATGTCTCTACAGCTCTATAATTATACAATTTTCACTCATTACATATAAGTTGTATCAGCTATATAATTACGATGCCATTTGGTAGTTGGTGTGCTGTTCCAACCCATAACCCAGCGATTTGATAGTATGGAATCGAAATTATTAGATCATAGCCTTATATAAGTATCATTAGTCGCCTAGTTCGTGCCTCAACTCCAATATTATGTCGAAATATAGTCTTTAAAGTTCTGGGTCACTGGTATAAAGGCGTCGTACTTATTGCGATACATGAAAGTCCTGAATTTCATTCTGTATGAAGCCGTAAGTGTTTACTTTTCAAGAGGTCTAAACGATCATGAGGGTGTTGTTCGGTGATCTCTTGGTTTTCACTGTTTTTCTAATTGATAGTAGTTCATAATAAAAATAACTTCCTGGATGTACAAACGTTTCTGCGAGATCATCTACCTAAATTACATGAGACGTACAGTCTTCCTAATTAACTTTAAAATCCCCATGTGTTGAAAATGCTACCAATCCCTTGATACTAGTAGTTGATTAATTAAAAAAATATATTACGATTGTTGTTTATAAAAACAAATAACGTCCAGTTGAAGTAGTCGAGCTCATTGACAAATTCACTTGTCTTGGTAAGCTCATTAACCCAGTAAGTTGGTAGCTGACGAAGTCTCGGTACGGATACAAAAACAAACCTAGATCGTACCATTTATGGAGAATCCGAGATGTTCGACTCTCTGTCAAGTAGTAAATATTACTCCCCTGCAGTTTGATTCGTATTTATCTCTGACTATAAAACACAAACTGCAAAATTAGAAGACATATGCAAGCTAGAACTATTTAGCCGTATGCGTTTGCGATGCGTTAGTCACTTTTGCCAAAACAACCAAGTGGGTAATATCGAGGTTAGGTACATGGTGTTAGATAACGATCGTAAGCCAAAGACAACGTATAATCCTGTAAACTTAAATAATCGTTGAATGATCTAGTTGCATTCAAAACCTCAGTTTACCTTAACATCCGGTCTCAGTGGGTATTATAGTACTTCGGAAAAAAATATGGGAATAGAAATGGTGAGTGCCATGATCTTAAGTTCCAATCGCAATCATTCTCAGTCTCCCTGTATGTGATGATACAACTTACGAATCACATATTCTTGTCTTTGGCTTTGAGTCATACCTTTTGTGTAAGGATGTGTTACTTACTACCTGGCTACCTAAACAGAAATATGTTGGGTGGAACTCAAACCTGCAACCTAGTGGCTGAAAGTCCAACCGTTCAACCACTAAATCACTTTGGGTTAAGTATCATTTCACAATAGTCATCTCTATCACTTACTCTTTTTTGAATTATATTTCTAATATTGGACTTTCGAGCACCGTTAACATTATTTCCTTCTCTATGCTTTTCATCTTGTTTGTGAATTTTCTGCCTCATTTTACTATCATGCTAGTTGTGCCAAATTAGACTAACAAACATGTTCTGCTGCCAGCTCTTACATTAGGAACTAAAATCTATTTCTTACAGCAAAATGAGAAATTTGAAAACATGTTTTTTCTTCGTTTGAGTCATCTCGCGCAGTGTTTGTACAGGGTACTCAAACTCTTAATTTTTTTCACCATAGTAGCCGTAACCAACGTAAAGCCTGTGACAAAAATGTGCCTTATTCTAAGTTCCCATACTGTATTAGCACAACTAAACAAACGTAACATTATAAATGAGAAAATAAATTGAAATAATTGCGATAGTAATGATAATGAGAATAAGTGAACATTGGTTTATAAATAGTTTAAAGAAACAAAAGGAAAAGTATAAGTATCAAAAAGGTACTGAAGCTTGACCTATGGAGCAAAGTCATCTAAGCTATTGTGATCCATTATAAGTCATATCACTGAACATCTCTAACTGTTGATCACAATTACCACTTGAACTTCAACCTCAGTACAATAATCAATAATTTCATGAACTGATGCCACATTTTCGTATTGTCACCTTTTTTATTTTCTTCACTGTTATGTAATTGAATTAATAGACTTGTGTTTATTCTAGTCAATTCATATTATTTAGTGTATATAGATTAAATGGCATAATATTATGTACATGATCATAGTAAAAAGAAAAAAAACAAATGCAATGAGGACGACGTTTGAGCGACACCTTAATGACCTTGAAAATATCCACCTACTTACTAAGGGCTAAATGAGGGTTATAAAACAGTGTAAAGAATAAGAATTATGAGTTACAGTTGATGGTTATGGTTAAGAATTAAATTTATGGTATTCATCAAGAATTGACATCAGTTGAAATGTCAAGACTTTATTTAACCAATTGGATGAATCAATTTCATGCCAAAATCCAAGACTTGTTATTCTAAACCTAATTGGTTCGTCTATAAATTATGGTCTCGTCACAAAATCTTTTTCACTCAATTTGTTTGTTTTAATTTAAAAAATGTTAATATTCGGTATATATATACATATATATTATTATTTATTTGTTTTCTGAACTTTTATCAGTTGGTATCAAAAAGCTCAATTATTAGTGCCGAAAAATGGTCGATCATATAATCAATTAGCTGTTTTAGCTTTGTATACTGTAAGTGAACATGTTATTTTGTTCTTTTTGGTAATGCACATATATATATAGTATTAGCCATGTTTGTAGATGCAGATTACTTGTTTGGGGTCCGGGCGACTATCGTAACCAATAGTTGGAAAATCTGGGTGACATGGCTCAGAATCGATCACAGTGGTGTAGGTGTATACACTGTCTATCTTCCTTTTAAACTATGAGATTAAAATCACCTCATATCTTTCTTTCTACGAATTAATTCTTTCTTCATGTAACAACTATCGGGGGATAAGTCTACTTCCGATTGCGTCCAAGCTATTGGCTTCCGTCATACTTCGTAGGTTGTTCAAAACTCGGGAAAGATTGACTCGCGAGGAGCAGGCTGGGTTTCGTTCTGGTCGAGGATGTATTGATCATATCTTCACCCTCCGCCAAATGTTAGAACATCGCCATACTTATCAAAGGCCAACAATCGTAGTGTTTCTTGACATCAGGGCTGCCTTCGATTCGTTGGACAGGACTGTTCTCTGGGATTGTCTATTGAAGAAGGGTGTGCCTGAGAAGTTTATTAACATCCTAAAAGCCCTATATAAAAACACCTCAGGCAGAGTGAGGGCATACAACCACCTCTCTCCATTGTTCCATTCGAGTAGTGGGGTTAGGCAGGGTTGCCCAATCTCACCATTCCTCTTCAACTTTGCCATCGATGACATTCTGGAAACAGCTCTGATGAATGTAAGTAATGGTGGTGTGGATCTGTTACCTGGAGAAAGACTTCTCGACCTTGAGTATGCGGACGATATTGTCTTACTGTGCGATAATGCCCAAGGCATGCAATCCGCACTTAATCAGTTGGCAATCAGTGTCCGTAGGTATGGTATGTGTTTTGCACCTTCGAAGTGCAAAGTACTTCTACAAGACTGGCAGGATTCTAATCCTGTACTCACCATGGATGGTGAGCAGATAGAAGTAGTCGAGAAGTTCGTGTATCTGGGTAGTTGCATAAGTGCTGGTGGGGGTGTGAGTGATGAGATCGATGCACGTATAGTGAAAGCCAGAGCGGCTTATGCCAATCTGGGCCATCTTTGGCGCCTTCGTGATGTTAGTCTGGCTGTAAAAGCTCGGATCTACAACGCGTCGGTGAGAGCAGTTTTGCTCTATGCTTGTGAAACCTGGCCTCTCCGAGTTGAGGACGTTAGACGACTCTCTGTGTTCGATCATCGCTGTCTCCGAAGGATTGCTGATATTCAGTGGCAACACCATGTCAGTAATGCAGAGGTTCGGCATCATGTGTTTGGGCACAGAGATGATAATTCAATTGGTGTCACCATCTTGAAACACCGACTTCGGTGGCTTGGACATGTTCTACGAATGTCGTCCCAGAGAATTCCACGTCGTGCATTATTTGTCGACTCTGGGACTGGTTGGAAAAAGCGGAGAGGTGGTCAGTGCATGACATGGTGTCGTGGTATGAAAGAAAGCTGCAAAGGACTGGCTTGTGTTGGTCCTTCACGACTCCCTGGTTGGGGTCTGAGAGATGGTGCTACACAGTGGCTAGAGACGTTATCAGATATGGCTCAGAATAGAAGCCAGTGGCGATCCTGCTGTAACCTTCTTTTACTTTCTTCATAAAAAGTGGTTGTGTCTCCCTTACTTGAAAGATTTCTTCTGATTGTACTTTTCCATTCCATTGTTACGACCACACTAAATTACACCAATCTCTTCGTTATCGTTCTCTTTTGTGCTCCTTGGTTTTTTTTTTCTTTTTCTATCTCTTCGAAGTTACATTGTTTTGTGTGGCGCATATATATTGGCGCCCTCTTGTACCAATATTTATGTGTTAAATAAATAAATAAATAAATAATGTTCTTATATGCAATCTTTCTTTTATATATCATCACTGAATTAACTACTTCTATGAATCTAGTGTTAATCTTGTTGTGCTAATGAGGTGTGGTAACTTGGACCGATGCGTATATGTGCTTGGTCCTACGTTGTAGCTGATTCATGTATGAAGATGACTATCTTTTTTTTCAATGTCCAATCAAACTGTAATATTTAGTATTTTTGTGAATTTTCCCATTTATTTAGTATATTAGTGCTGTATATAAGAGTGTAATTTTCACTGAAAACTTTATTTTAATTATCCAAATCTATCTACATATATCTTTTATGAACACACTATTGTAGTGCATTTCAACTTGTTGGATAAGAAAGGTAAATAAAATGAAAGTTAGTGCTTGAAATGAAATCGTTAATGAAAATTATACTTTTCTATACAGTAATCACTTATTAAATGAGTAGAAAAAAAATGCTAGATATTGCACAACGCATTTAGAACAGATTTGCTAAACAATTTGCGGATATGTATCCTATCTATATGATTATTATATTTTTAGTACAATTTTCGAAAAACATTCTTAATATGCTTTGATGTTCTAGAGAATTATCCTAAGATTAACACCATTTAACTGTAATCAAACAGCCAGTGACCAATGATGAAATAGTGTTTTTAATTGTGTTCAAATAGAAACTAGCCTCCGTTGAGATGTTCAAGCGTAGAGAAAAAACAAAATTTAAATGTATAAAAGTAAATGCAAGAAGATCATAGCCAGAAAGTAGGTAGTTTTCTGAAGGTTTAACATTCTTGAATGTACCAACTTAATCTGATGACTGTAAACTTCTAGGTATTATGAATGAGATGACTTTTGAACGAAGCTAAATTAACTTGAGACAACTCACCTACGAACTAGGATCAAAAGAGGATCATAAATTAGTATGAGGAAGTAGGATTAAGATTTAGAGTTAGATGTTAGGGTTAGGAATTAGAGTAAGGGTTTTTATCATGAACTGACAACTATAGTGTTAAGATACTATTTAACTTTATGAATGAATAAATTTCGCACCAAAATCCAAGACTTTCTATCTTATATCTTATTAGTTTGTCCATAAATTATCACCTCGCCAGTCGGATATGCTTGCGATAACAATGATAACTGTGATGACAATTCTATACCAGAATATAAAATAGTTTCTATGAATATTCGTCAAAATTTGAACGAACAGTTTAACAGAAATTAAACACCAAATACTTATTCTTTGGTAGTTTTCATTGAAGCACCAATGCTAGCATCCCATAGAGGTAGACTTCTCTCCTTCAAGATGCCAAATGTTGCTTCAGGACTGATTTACGTCAACGTCTAAGCTAAGTAGTTGACTGTGTTTATCACTTCACTTATCTTGGGAGTCTCATCAACTCTGGTGGACTGGTGTTTGATTAAATCTCCGTATGAATCCAAAACGTCCGTTTGACTTCTGCCATCTTGCGTCACTTGTGGCGTAGGTGAGGTACCCGATATCTGAGAACCAAAGGATGAGTTTACTGTACAACAGTTCACTCCATTCTATATTATGGATGCAAAATATGACATTTAAAAATAAGGGATGTATGTGGATCATTATTCTCCAACCATGGTTGTCTTCGAACGATTGGTCGTGCATTTCGGAACCATCGAGTTAGTCATTCTGACACAGAATACGATGTAAAGATGGCAAGTCAATTGATGAGGTAGTGAATTTTGATCGACTGAGATGGTTAGGACATGTGTTACGTATATCCATAAACCGAATACCTAGTTAGGCGATGATGGCTGGTGTAGGAGTAGGTTGGAAGAAAGTTAGGGGCGAATAAATCTAGTCAATGCATCAGTCCATGAAGATACTGACTGACGGACTGAGCCATTTAAGTAGGTGCAGACCACTCAGTTAAGGTCCATGTGATAAATGGTTGAAGATTTTCAGTGACATGGCTCGAAATTGTTCTCAATGGGGCAGGCACATTCATTGTTCGTCTTCCTTTAGTTCCCAAGTTTCTTAATTCCTTCTTAAATGTTTTTATTTCACTAGTTCATGTATATCGAAATGTATCTTCGATGTCTAGTCTTTTCGACTACCACTAATACTTTCATTACCTTCACTACTCCGGGTTTCGCTCTAGCGATTTCATCTCTCTGTGTTAATGTGGTATGACAATATGAACTGATTTACTAACGTACCAGGTTTTATGTTGTATTTGACTGACTGATAGACAGTTAGCCTTCGAATTATTTCTCAGCTGGCAGACAACCAGAGGGGAATGCCTTAAATCTATGTTGCACAAATGTCAATAAAATGACTTTCGATAGATGTGCCTCGTAAAACTATATCCTACCGACGGTCTTGAGTGACCAATCAAATTAGAGATAACATATTTAAAGTATTAGTCTGAATTTGTAAATAGTTTATTGCCGGAAATCATGTTTTCATCTAGATTTCGTGTTTTAGATGGTTTGGATGGTAATTTTCTTGGGTGGGGTGCACCTAGAGAACCACCTATGTGAATGTAAAAATGTAGTGTTAGGGTTGAGGTTATCGCTTTATATGAAAAATCTCCTGAACCCTAACATTCTAACCAAATTGATAGTGGTAGAATGGGATGAATCCTGTCAAAAAATAATACGATTTTCAGTTCTTGTCGGGATCTCGAACTGATCTAAGTCGGACAGTCATTACAAACCTGGAAGCACTTGACGGCCCGTGCGCGTAATTTTCAGTGTCCAGTTTCAGTGTTACAAAAACACTCAGTTTTTATGTTATAGGCTCAAGTTGTATATATACTATACTTAACAATTTTTAAAAAATCGTATTTCCTTATTTCTAAATATCAAATATCATCGCTCTTTGTTATGCCTCTTCTTGCTTTTTCGTAATCAGTCCAGGCATTTGGATGCAATGTTCTACTATATGCGTACTCTTGCTGCAAGTAATCCTTTTGCGACGGCATCACAAAGTTTGGCGGCTTTATTTAATGAAATACGACCACGTGCTCAAAACATGATTATGCAGGTATGCTTAGTGAATAATTCAATATTGAATTATTATTAGATAGTAATATTATATATTCCTGTGAATTAAAGTTGGTTCATACTTTCGGGTACGATGAATTCGATAATACTTGCACAGACAAAACCAGTAGTGCTTACGCTTAGTGCGTCAAGCCCAGTGGCTTAGTGGTCAAATCACTCTTGTTTCGATCATCAGGTCGCATGTTCTATTTTCGTCAATACCTACTTCATTTTTATTAACTGGGTTGGTATGGTTAGACCTCACACATAAGGTAGTATAGCTCTGAACGTAATTTATAAATCTATCTGTACTTGGTAAATAAACGAGAGAAAATCCATGGAGTTCTACTGAGAATCATTGACCAATGGAGTTTAACCATTACCAAGTATGAAGCAGATATCCACTAACAACGGTAAAAATGATTGTACAATATTTCCAGTTGATAAAAGTTGAATATGCAAACCATTGAATCCCTGTTCGATGGTCCTGAATGTCAAGTGCTCGCCATGTGAGCTGGAGGTACTGGGGTCGACTTCTGACGGGGTCGTAGATGCGCACTGCCGAGGGACCTCACATTAAGACTAACCAATTATTCAATGCGTCCCGGTTTTCAGTGACTGTTTACGATCACTCTATGATGTATACTAAGGAGGATAAATGGTCTAAGCTAAGTGGAATCTGCCAAAATATTTTGTCAGTTCAAGCTGTTGTACTTCGCATCATTAAACGAAATAGTGATTCACAAGCTGTGAGTCGAACTAGTCATAATACGATAATAATATTGGTGAATAGTAGAGATAATACCAGTGGTATTTTTAAAATTTTTATCAACTTACACTGTGGCTGCTTCTGTGTCGCTTCTGTCAAGTTGTAGAACGATAATTTCCTTTTACCACATATCACCTTTCGCTCCAGATTTGTAGGTAGTTTTTCCTCTCATTCGTTTGGAAACACTGAATCAGCATTATGATACTAACAATATCTGCCCTTACACTGCATGTATATAGCTCCTCAACCACGAAACAATGTACCTACTTAATTAATTAAGCCTGTTACCCCTCATAGAGGAGCACAGGCTGCTCACCAGGACTCTTCATCCAACTCTGCCTGGATAATCCTTTCCAGTGGTTCCCAGTTGCTATTCATCCTTTCAATTTCTGCTTCCAATTCCTGGCTCAGTGTGTTCTTTGGCCTTCCTCTTTTCTGTTTTTCTTCGGAGTTCCAGGTTAGCGCTTGCCTCGTGATGAAGTTTGATGATTTCTGCAACGTGTGTCCTATCCACTTCCATCGTTTTTTCCTAATTCCCTCATTAGCTGTGAGTTGGTTTGCTCTCTCTCACAACAGTTTGTTGCTGGTGCTATCCGATCAATGGACATTGAATATCTTACGTAGACAATGGTTTATAAATACTTGTACTTATTTGGTAATGGTTGTAGTAGTTCTCCAAGTTTCAGCGTACAGTAGAACTGTGTTGACGTTCGTATTGAAGATTCTGACTCTGATATTGGTTGACAGTTGTTTTAAGTTCTATATGTTCTTCAGCTGTAGGAATGTAGCCCTTGCTTTGCAAATCCTCGTCTTTACGTCTGTATCGGATCCTCCTTGTTCCTTAACGATGCTGTTTGGGTACGTGAAAGAGTTTCTCTATCAAGCGAGATCAGGTTGGTGTCCTTCGTGTTGTATTTGAGGATGTTGCATTTTCCTTGTGTATATTGAGGCCTATTGATGCAGGGCCTGCTACTACACCAGTTGTCTTCATCTGCATTTGTTCGTGTGTATGGGATAGAAGGGCCAGATCATCTGCGAAGTTCAGGTCTTCTAGTTGCATCCAAGCTGTCCATTGTATTACGTTAAACACAATAACGAAACAATGTATGTTCCTTATATTGTGGTTTTATGGACTATTCGATGTTCCCAATCGGCATTGTCTTCAGATATCTCACACTTCGATTGTATGTGAGCATCAGGGCATACACATAGAGGTATTCCATCATATAATTCTGACTTGTGTAAAGAATGACATGTATGTTGTTCTTCTCACCCTTCGCGTGCGAAACAGGGCCATTGTTCCAGTTATAAAATGAATATATACTTTTACCATCTGTAATTAGCTTGATATTTGACTCATCAAAGCCTGATTTGCCTGCAAAAAATTTTGATGGAATATTTGCATCTGCATCATTCTCATAAGGACAATTTTGGACAAAGTTTGAATTTCAAGCCTCTGCTACGTCACATCTGAGCAAACTGCTTCTCTGGTTGCTTCGAGAAAAAACTTTATGGCTTCTAATTTAGCATACCACTGACTGAGGATCCTACACGACGTACATAATTTATGAGAATATTCAACATCTGATACAATAACACCAGAAGTATGACTAGAATTTGACTCATTTGAAAGATATTTGTCACATTCATTAAGGATATCACTGGAAATAAATCCATTGTGAAGACAAATGACACCTGATGTGATACCATCAGAACTGTAATCAAATTTTAACTCATTTAGAACTTGTTCCTAACATTTAATTAAGGTTTCATTAGAAATAAATGAGTAATTAGGTCAACCGATATCTGGTAAAATAATATCATGAATTTGATTCATTTGAAACATTATTCTCACAGCAATCTAGTACTTTAGTCGATTTAAATCATTAGACTGATCAGAATCCAACATAGAAACATTTGAATTTTGCTGGGTGTCAACATTATTAAGCACACTTTTCTCCAAGATACTGATAATTTTCACTTGAGTTTGAACAAATTGATCTAGTATTACTTCCAAAGTATCCATTTTTGACTGTCGAAATATATCCGATTACAAAATGTATTGAGGTTCATTTTAAAATCTCCCGTCACCGATTTGATATAACGGATGATTTAAAATATTTTTCTCTCTCTCAGATATACTAAAATAATACATTAATACGATAATGAGACTAATCACATTCTATGGAATCCAGGATTCACAACCCGGAATAGGAAACCAGATTAACATTAGATAATCCGAAATAGAGATCAATGAAAAGAAAAGAAATCACATACTAAGTGCTTGTTCGTCCATCCTCATTGTCCAATCACATCTTTAGCTCTATTAGACTGAAGTTATTAAATTTCATATAAAGTTTCTCAAAGATTTTATTGTGAAATATAACTCATAAAAAGAGAATTGCTGATGACAATACTGATCAATTCACATATTTTTGTTTCATTAAAAGTGGTCTTTTTAAACGTTAGTTTCAGAAACCGAAAACTGAATCAGTTCAGCCTCATTGTTCTGGATTTAGTTCACATAATCCACGATTTCAACGTGCTGAAATATGGATTCATCCAATTGATGGTCAGACTACTGTTATTCAAGGTGGACGGCGTTTGATGCATTCAAATATCAAACCAATTGTTGATGAAAGTAACAATATTCAAGGAAAATCAATGCAAAAATTAAATTCATCAACTCCTGAACTTGAAGTTGACAATGAAGATGAAGATGATGAAGAGGCACAGGCAGAAGCTGAAGAATATGCTAATATTTCTTTGATTGAAGTGAGTGTCTTCGTCATCATAGAACTGTCATATACTATCTTTCATTGTACAGGTATTTGATACAAATGCTAATATTAAATAGAACGAAATTATTAGATCAGTTGAATAACTTGTATTAGTGGAGTTTTGTTCTCTGAGCTGGATGGTTTGGTCGTGGAGCTTTCATCGTTCTTCTGAACGACATCATCAGCACAAACTTCAAATAGAAGTCACTTGTATTAGTCTTGTATTAGTATTAGTCTTTGCTATGTTATAAATAACAAATGACTTGGCCGAACATGGAGTATATGAACTCTTAGGTTTAAGATCATAAGTAAACTTTATCGCGCTTATTGTGATGTCAAAATATCATGGTTTCAATTCATTGTATGATTTAGGATGAACAGTGTACTTGCTTTAAATTATGGATATATTCACAAAATTCTACGTTTTCATTTGTATTTTACTTCTCTATCTTGATGTTATGCTAAATTTATGTTTGGGTATATCATTGGTATTCTTGTCTGTCTATCTATTTGTTTAACAAACATTCTAGTTTACTAACTAGTACATGGCAAGTAATGTAATGCCCCGGTACGGCCAGAAATGGGGAGAGTCAGCTGTCCCTCTCAAAATGCTCTCATATGGCCACGCATATACGGCCACTACCAGCGAAGTCCTACTCGCGGCGAGGGTGTTGTTTGCGAAACTGAGAGGACGACAAGAGAGTGCCCGGTGCTTTAACCGGGTTGGTGGATACAAAAGATCCACCTGGGGGAGTGGGAAAACTCATATTCCCACCCAGTGACGCACATGGGCTACAGGGTCCTAAGGGAACAAATGGCGTATGAACCAATGATTGGTCACCGGCTACCATGAGACTGCATCTCCTGACGTTGCTTCACTGCCTTGTGGATCAGACCTTTAGGTTGAAGGTTCCGGGTGTGGCCTCCTAAGAAAACCACCTGCTTCGGTCTGGGGACTCGGGCAGTATCACAGCCCATACACAAATCACGTGACTTGTGTGACTCATATGTATTCGGTGCCCTTTGTACCAATATCTATATGTTCAAATAAGTAAACAAAATAAAAAAGTTCACCACTATTTTGACTGCACTAATATTTAGAAAACTAGATAGAAATCAGTTATTCAGTTGTTCAATGGGCGGCCTGCTTGAGCATTTGGGCTACCTGTCCCTGCCATCTAGATATTTCAACAATTTATCTACTCTTGTTTGTTTTAATATATCGTTATGTCTATTAATCGCATAACCTATTCTGCTGCGTTTCTGAAAAGTGTACAACCTTTCGTTGTCAAAGTTACAAAAACCTCAATATGAGAATGTGGTTGCTGGCAATATACAACGAAAATAATGCACATTATTCAGATGTTCATTCAGTGAACTGCTAACATCTAACTGGCGATCACTCGATATTTATCGCCAGGACCGACCAAAAAGAAAGAAACGGAAACTTGTTGAAATACTTTGCGCTGAGAATTCTATATTGCACCAAAAATATAGTATTGAATAAAGCTGATAATAATAATAATAATAATAATAATAATAATAATAATAATAGTAATAATAATAATAATAATAAATTTAAAATTATCGCAATTATGAATCCATCCAACTTTCCACACTTATGTCAACATAGTTAGGTCGACATTAATTGTGTTAATGGTTAAGCAGTCGTAATAAAATATTCTTTAAATAGATCCCATTCTGTCTTGTACATTTATTACTATGGGGTTATTGAGTCCTATTCAAATATCCAATACTGTCGCAGATTTCCAAAAATTCAACTGAAATGTCACACTTTAATTAAAATGAAGTAAGCGAAGACTTGGTGGAGATAACCGATTTATTGTTTAATACAAAATTACACAGTTTTCAATTAGGACTTTGAAAAAGTCATTCTGGCACCATAATAAATTGATGTTTTTAATTTTCACTAGGTTGCTTAAATTGATATCAGTTTAGAATTAAAATTATATGGATAAAATTACTTACGCTTGTTACCCCTTGTAGAGGGCAGGTCGCCGACAAAGATTCTCCAACCAATTGTGTCGTGTGCTTTCATTTTCGGTTGCTTCCAAGTGCTACCCATCCTTCCCATATCTGTCCCCGGTTCTCATCGAAACGTGTTTTTTGGTCTGCTTCTTTCCTTTCGCCCTCAAGATTTCAACTCGGGACTTGCCTCGTGATGTAGTTTGATGGTTTCTGCTATGTATATCCTACCGACTTGCAAATTTTTTTTATAATTTCCTCCTCAGATGGGAGTTAGTTTCTTCTCTCCCACAATAGGTTGTTGCTGATGGTATCCGGTCAACGGACATTGAGTATCTTGAGTAGACAGTTGTTTATAAATACTTGTACTTGTTTGGTCATGGTTGTGGTAGTTCTCAAAGTTGCAGGTTCGTAAAGTAGAACTGTGTTGACGTTCGTATTGAAAATTCTGACTCCGATATTGTCTGGCAATTTTTGTTGTTGTTGAGTTATACAATAAATAAAACTACACACGTTAAGAGAGATAGACAATAGGTTTGGGTTTCAATGTGAATATTAATACTGAAATGTGAAACGTGTATCCAGTTAATGAGTTCCAAGTAGGACAAGACACATATTTTGGATTTCATTGATGATTGCATACTAAATACACTAGAACTGAAGTAAATTTATTCATTTACCTTTCATTATTTATATTTTCAGCTAAGTAAACAATTCGGTTTGGCATTTATTCATGCTCATGGAAAGTTATATACCAAAATTGGGTAAGGTGTATTTTTTCATTAAAATTAATTTGGCGAGACTATAATTCATGGACAAACCAAGTAGGTATAAGACAACAGGTCTCGGATTTTGGCGCGAAATTCACACATCCATTTGGCTAAATAGAGTTTTGGCATTATAGTTGATGTCAGCTTGTGATGAGAACCCTAAGTGTGATTCCTAACCCTGACCATTAACTGTGAATCATAATTCCGATTCCCCATACTGTTTTATAACCCCCTAGTTATTAGGTGGACACTCTCAAGGTCACTTCAGCGTCACTCAAAGGTCGTCCATAAATTATAGTCTCACCATTAAGTTTTATGTTTGGTATTAATGAACCATTGGGATTTAAATTTATTTGATATTTTAGTTATCAACAAATAAACTAAGTGAATTCTTTCGGTTTGTCTTTAAAAGAAATACTTTTTAGTGTGAGACTGTTATATCCCGATCAGAATAATGAATGGTAACTTTTGGGATCCATTTATGGACCAATACTATACGTATATTTTTGTCGTTTTATTGTTAATTAACTAAACTATTCATATTCGTGTTCCTCTTATTATAAGCTTCATTTTAACCTATGAACTATTATTGTACGATTTACTATTATTGAGTTATGCCCAGTCTATCAGTTACTATCCCTCACATTCACAACTACATTTGGCTAAATCTTGTATAAATGTTGTTTTCTATTTTGTGGTGCGATGTGGTTTGTTTGGTTTGTTTATAAACCCAGTATGTTTCGGAATACATGATTCATATCGCGGTGGCTAAGATTGGTGTTCTGGACTCAACGGGCTGGTTTGGGCTAGACAGGAGGAAGTAACTCTAGACTGCTCATACGTGTTTTATGCGTGATTGGTCCGGTCGACGATCCACTGTTCTCTAATTGGCGGCATCATTACGTTACACATTGATAGGGACATAAACCCACAATTTATAACAGAGACTTGTTTAAATGTTTTTCCGATCATTTACACGAAGTAATTCCATTATGTAATTGAGTAGAATTAAGTTTAATTAATTCAAGATCTTAAGTTTAAATCATGTTTTTCATATGACACTGAAGAGGCAACTAAACAATAAGTACTTATAAAGCTTTGCATAATAAACATGGCCCTTTCTACAGTGAAGAATCATTCAGTTAGTTATCAAGTAATTGCCCAAAAATTCTTAATGGAGATATAAACATAATATGCTGTTTTAAAAATAATTTTCGTTACCATGAGTATAGTATGTGTTTCATTTCGTTGTCTAGGTATAAAATATTTATGTGAGACACTAGTAGAGACGTTTCTACTTGTAGTCAGTTTTTGTGACCAATTTTTGGAAATAGTCGAGAAGTTTGGTTTCTGAATGCTATCCAAAGCTAGATTAGGTTTTGTCAATCTGGGCGATCTTTTAGCGCCGTTACAATTAATGCACAAGTTGTAAATCAGTGTGACTACGAGTTTTTGATGCAGACAGTTTTTTAGTGTTAGTGACAGGTAGCAAATATTTAGCTGAGAATGTCGAAAAACTTTGTCGTCGACCAACTTTGTCTTTGACGGATTGTTTGCATTATTGGTAGTAATGTTTAGGTATATCTTATTCTGACCCAAATTCTAGGCATAATTATCCTGCATAACTTTGTATAACTAGTCGGCTCCAATACGTTTACGATTATTATTGTCAACAATGTAAAAGCAGAGATATCGTAATACAGAGCGTTAGAGAATACTCCCTTGTCAGTCACGGTAGTCAAGAAAACCAAATCAAAAACAAAGGAAAGATAAAATAAATGTGATGTATGGTTTATTTTGTTTATTGAGTATATCATATTGTGTAGTGTGTTGACTATTGTAGTAATTAATCATTGTGTGAATCCTGTGACTTCATATTGTTCAGATACGAGGAACAAACATACAAACAATCACATATGTATGAAAATTTTACACGGATTAAATCTTATAATCAACTGCCTGAATACATATAAAATATTTATTAAAATTAAAATGGTACATACGACTTTCGCAGAGATGTTCGATGTTATGTATGCAAGTTTTGTACAAATTTGTAATGTAATTGCATTGTATGACCTTTGCGTTGTTGTTGTTGTTGTTCCAAGTTTTATCAAAATGCTGTATTTCTCGGAATGTAACAAAATAAATTTCGAGCAAATCATCATACATTGAACTAGGAAGCTGAAGTACAAGATTAAAGCGTTAATTATTACAAGTTGATTAAATTTGCCAATGTCATATATTGTGGTCAAGCCTAATAGTTTACAATACAACACAAGCTTTAAATCCCTGTTCGCAAGAGTAATTCATGAAATGTGTTGTTTTTTTATATCTACCTTGTATGTGTAACTGAATAAGCTCATTTAGGGTACCAATGAAAACTGGGGACGATTAGACACCCGATTCGTTCAACTATTGAACTTTTCAGTAGTGCCTACTCGCATCCCCTCTAGATATCGCGTCTATAAATTTCAAGGCTCATGACAAATCCCGAAACACTAGAACCACTGGGTCGGCGTCCAATGTTATAATTTCGGCTTCAATCAATTTGCAATATAACGTGACGATCATCCACTGCAATTTGTGACATTTATTTCGCTCTCTAAGCGTCTGGACTCTACCAGTCACACAATTTTCCAATAAAATTTCAGAAACATCAAGAAATCCGCCACGGGACCTGGATGTTCTGCGTCCCATCCCTGATATAGTCCTGCATACAAATTAAACCTGTCTCCATAAACCATTTAAACTTAACTACGTCTACAAAATGCTTATTTTCTTTTGTAATTGGTAGAGCATTTTATTAGTTCCTTAACATTTAGTAATTTAATTCTATTATTATTTTTAAAAAATAATGTATTTTTATTTTGTCAGTATGGAAACATTTCCAGAAGTGGCCTCATTAACTCTTCAAGCTTTATCTGGTCTGTTAGCACAAAAACCATGTCCTTTATCAACTGAACGTTTATGTCAATTATTTGTTGTAAATATGTTCAATGTGGATCGTGCTGCATCTATGACAAATCAAACAAATACAATGAATAATTCTATAAAAAATCGAATAAATGAATCTAAAATCATTGTGAATAATGATAATAAAATATCTTTAAATATAGGCATGGATAATTTTGTTCCATCTTCACGTCTTACTGAAATTGAAGCATTACGTTCTGTTCATCATGATCATGCTGCACGTTTTGCATTGGATACATTTAGTTTAGTATGCAGAAGAGCAGCACAATTACTTCAAGAGGTAAATAATATTTTCATGTAACATATTTTTAAAAAAATTGTTGAATTGGCTTTCCGAGAACTGCGATGGAGCCTCCTGAGGCCCTAAAGGAGCCGAAGAGTCCTAACCAATCAGAGCATGATGAAGCTTTCTAGAATGTCAACGTGGTGTTCTACTATTGGTCAATAGCATAATATTTATTTTAGAGGATTGGCCCAAAGATGATGTTGATTTAACAAATGGTAACATCTCTAAATACCCGTGTTTTCTGTACAAAAACGAACCTTGGAGTAAAGTATTTTCTCGCATACTTTGCGTCTTCTCTCTTGTGTTCAGGTCGCTGTATAGTTCTAACTTGCGGGTTACCAGAATAGATTAGGAACCGAATAAAGCGTTCAGATTAACAAGATTTATCAAAAATATTTTCGCTTAAAATTATTACATTTTAAAACGTCAATGTTAAGCTTACGGGGATGCCTTCAAAATTGGTTAACTGTTAAGGAAATATTACTAAAGACAACTTCATTTTAAACTTGACTTAATATTCATTATTTTATATAGGAAGTTGTTTCCTGTAGTTGTGTTTTTAAATTTATTTCAGTTTCCCACAACTGGATTAGGAATTGCAGCATCACCAATTTATCGACTACGACTTAAGTTATTAAGTTATTTAAAGTGTAGCAAAAACTCAGTGGTTAAAACACTTGTTTTTGAATCGTTAGGTCCCGTATTTGAACCTAGTTCCACCTACTTTATTTTGGGCAGCCAAGTAGAGCTACATTACCTTACACCTAAGGCTTCACTTCAAGCTGTAGACATATATTCAAAACCAAACTCCACTAGGCTAAAGTTTACTTCCTTGTTGAATTGCATCAATAGTAGTTAGGAATACGTTAGAATCATTAACATTCCCGCTCAGGAGTCACCCATTAGTAGTTAAGCGTTCATATTATATTCAATTTTATTATTTCTAAAATACTGTAGCTATTTCATCATAACAACTTTAGGTTCATAAGAACAATTATAACTCAATTAAATATCATCCAATCAAACAAGCTTCAATTAATTATATCTTTGCTTTTATGTATACTTTTTATAGACTCCCCCTATGGATGCTAGTCCAGGTTGGTTATCACCAGATGCACGAATTCTTCTTTCCGCATTATGCCTATGGACTGAATGGATGATTTTACATCCTGAACATTGGTTACCACCACCAAATCATCGTGATCCTACACTTCGACCACATTTAGACGATTGGCTACTTGTTGCTAAATTATGCACTGAAGCAGCTAGTTGGCTTTCACGTTTATCTGTTAGACCAAAATATGAAGAAATTACACCAACAACATCTCTCGTGCTTCGATTAAAAGGTGAACTTAACTGTGATGAAAAATTGGATGATGATTCAGATAAATCCTCTACTTTATATCATATCTTTGAAGATGGTAACTTGTATAAAGCTGCTTTTCTTTCTGAAGAAGTATTTGTCGCAGGATTCAAGCCTATGCTTGATTTAACGCCTAAAGTATGTTTTAAGTGGTCTTGTTTTTTTAATAAACCTATTCAATAGGTTTGGTTCTTTGTAATTTCTGTTATAACATTTTCATTTATTACTGAAAAATTTCCCAAAGGTAATTACTACAAACGATATGACTGTTCTTAATAATAAGATCTGCATAAAACTTCTGTTTATTAATTAATTATGATCGGAATGGGGTTTGTGGAGATTGTAGTGATTTTAACGGTTGAATTCATGAGTCGATACAAGATAGACCAAGATTGAAAACCTGGAATCACTAGAGGGCCGTTTTGTCCCAGTATTGGACTCCTCAACAATGCGCATGAGGGGCCCTAACCTCGGGCCATCAGTCTCACGTGTGAACGCCTCACCTTTAGACCACTGGGCCGGCATCCGACGGTGTCACTGTCTAACTTCAATCGATCTATGATCTTGCGCAACCATTCATCCATTGTCTGAGGTAGATACCTGCCTCTACCAGATACTAGTTGGACTTTACTGGTCAATTATTAATTAATCATCTTAGTCGATAAGTTAGGATAAACTTTGGCACAATTGCATATCGGTCCCAAGTGTCACTATATCATATCACCATAGTACTATAAAATTAATTAAGTGAATAATAAAATGAATCAAAATTATACCAGTCGTATTGAAAAGAAATAAACATTAAGAATTTCATTCGAAGACAAGGAATGAATTCTCTGAATAATAACAACACTAATAATTTTGAAACATGCTGACTACAAAGGATGATTGATTAATAGATAGTTGAATTTGATCATTCTCAGGTGAATGATTTCTCCATGCACTAGCTGCCAAATCAAAGGATCTCAGAGAGAGAATAACAGACTATATCTCTTGTTATTGATTAATGAAACACAAAAATAAGGAAAATTATCTTTAGATTGCCTCTAGAAAGTTTGGTGATAGTCTATGGCATGTTTTAGTACTGTTTTTTACCAGCACTTTCTAATTATACTATCTCTTTTGGGGGTTATTTTGTTTCATTTATCGTACAGATATATTATTACACAGGTGATTGGGACCCAGAAACTGTGGCAGATTTTGTTCGAATAGAGAAATTGGTTTTATTTGGTGATTATTTATGTGGAATTGAAACGCCTGTATTGAGCTATAATATTGACCAAGCGGTTTATGAATCGGTTATACAACGTGAATCTTCTGAACGTCTTCAAGATAAACGTATAGATGTTAAGACAAATATTATACAGAATACTTCAGATATCAAATTGGAAAATGAGGAGAAACGTCAGTTGGAGTTAACGTCTGTAGTAAGTGGTAACCGCATAATTTACAATAATTATATCAGAATGATATTGAATTCCTTGTATTTCCTGGTTTCATGTCAGCTACTTACAGCTTCTAAACGTAATTTTATTTATTTGAACACATAGATATTGGTACAAGGAGGCACCAAATAGATATGCGCCACATAAATCATTCAATTTGTGTGAGGGCTGTGATACTGCTTGGGTGCCCAAACCGAAGCAGGTGGTTTTCTTAGGGAGCAACATTAGGAGCCTTCGACCTAAAGGTCTGATCCACAAAGCAGTGGAGCAACGTCGGGAGATGCAGTCCCGTGGAAGCCGGTGACCAATCACTGGTTCATACGCCATTTGTTCCTTCAGGATACTGGAGCCCATGTGCACCATTGGTTTGGAATCAGGGTTTTCCAACTCCTCTAGCTTGACTCTCCGTGTCCACCATGTTATGACTTTATGTCCGGCTTTTTATCACGTGATTTATCCACCAATCAAAATATGACTTACAAATCTGTGGAATGTGTTCAGAGATGCAGATACGAATACTTCTTTCTGTTCTTACGAGGGAAGTGGTTTCATAATAAAATGAAAAATTCAACTGGTTGCCTTTGTACACACAGTTCATGCTCCAATTGATAGACTACTTTGCTAAAACCTCTAAATACAAATAAATCGTGATAACTTTGGACGAATTGTTTCGAGATACAGTTCAATATTCTCTCTCATTACTCTCATGTTAAATTGAGGGATTGAATAAACTCTTTTCCAAACGTACACTTCCTGTTTTCAGACTTAATTCTTCCCTTATATCATTGTCTCTGGCATGACTGTGGTTTTGCTGAAGAAATCTGTAATCTATCGTTGTGCATGATATTTAACTACTAATACTACAATCAGTAATATGTGTATGTCAGTCAGTCAGTCAGTCAGCTACAACGTAGGACCAGGCACATATGTGCATCGGTCCAGGTTGCCATACCGCATCAGCACAACAAGATGAACACCGGATTCATAACAGTGGTTAGGTAAAAGGTGGTAATATATAAGAGAAACATTGCATATAGAGATATAGTACAAGAAGAAAGAGTTGGTTAGTAGAAAGAAAGATATGAAGCGCTTTTAATCTCTTAGTTTAAGGGAAGACGGGGAGTGTATACGCCGACGCCATTGTGATCGATTCTGAGCCATGTCACCAAGAGTCTCCAACCATTGGTTACGATAGTCACGCGGACCCCAACAAAGTAGTCTGCATCTACCAACATGGCTCAGACTAGAAGTTAATGACTTCAAACACTGATGCCACGTTTTGGTTTGGCCGCCCCTAACTTTCTTCCAACCATCCCCAACACCGGATAGCATTGCACGTCGTGGTAATCGGTGTTCAGGCATACGTAACACGTGGCCCAACCATCTCAGTCGATGAAGATTCATAACCTCATCAACTGATTTACCATCCTTTCCTAATACCCTGCGTCTAACCTCACTATTACTTACCCGATTATCCCAGCAGACGCCAGCAATATTTCTAAGGCATCTGTGGTCAAATACTATCAGCTTACGAGTGTCTTCTACTCTTAATGGCCATGTTTCGCTACCGTAAAGTAAAACAGAACGGACTGCCGCGCAGTATACTCGTCCTTTTATTGATAGACGGATATCTCGCCTTCGCCACAGGTGACGTAAGTTGGCAAAAGCCAAACGAGCTTTTCGAATCCGTGCTGAGATTTCGTCCGATACCAACCCATTAGGGCTGATCAGACTTCCAAGGTAAGTGAAGTTGTCAACGCGCTCGACTACTTCACCCCCTATCCTTAGTTCAGGTGTTAACGCAGACCAGTCCTGAAGCAACAACTTGCATTTCGAGGGAGAGAAGCGCATTCCAAACATTCTGGCATTGTTGCTCAGTGCTACCAGAAGGCTTTGCATTTTGTCAGCGTCTTCACCAAACAGGACTATGTCATCTGCGTATTCTAAGTCGATAAGTGGACCTCCTGGATGGAGATCAATACCCGAGAACTCAGTCGACGAGAAAGTTATTTCCATCAGTAGGTCTATGATGAAGTTAAACAAAAATGGGGAAAGTGGACATCCTTGACGGACATCACTTGAGGTTGCAAAACTAGATGACAGTTCGCCATAAGCTCTCACTCGACTAGTAGTGTTCGAGTAAAGAGCCTTCACAAGGTTTATGTACATCTGAGGTACGCCTTTCAATGACAGACACTGCCACACAAACTCGCGGTCTACCGAGTCAAATGCTGCTTTTAAGTCAAGAAAGACCACCATCGTCGGACGCCGATAAGTATGCCTGTGTTCTAGAACCTGACGAATGGTGAATATGTGGTCGATGCAACCACGACCAGGTCTGAAGCCAGCTTGGTTTTCTCGTGTTTGCAGTTCACGAGTCTTAGTCAGGCGTCTGATAATTATCGAGGCTAGTATTTTAGATATTATATTAGTGGTTGTCACAAGATGATTTTGACCCTTTCTTATATATTGGGACGATAAGTGATTGTGACCAGTCAGATGGAATAACGTCTAACTCCCAGATCTTAGCTAAAATATTAGTCAACCTAATCGCTAAAATTGGACCACCATCTTTAAAGACTTCTGGAACCAGTCCATCTGGACCAGCAGCCCTTCCTCGTTTCAGATTGTCTATAGCCTTTTGAACTTCAGCAAGAGTTGGGGGACCTACTTCAATGTTCCATTCACGCTGTCTGGGAATGGAGGGTAGTTGTAGAGTAGCTGAAGGCCAGCTGAACTGTTCCCTAAAGTGTTCCGCCCATCGTTCTAAACGTCTGGACTGGGAATAGATGAGAGTATCGTCTTTTTCCGATATAATCTCACTTACACTTGACTTATTAATTCCAGTTTCTTTTATTAGTCTGTAAAGTTGTCTTGTGTTCCCTATAGTCGCCGCCTTTTCCATCTCTTTTGCTTTCGTTGCCCACCACTGCTCACGGTCGTTTCTTAAACTTTTTCTTAACCTAGATCTGATTTGTTGTCGCTCTTCATCATGTTCGGAACCTGATGGGACGAATTTGCGAGAATCCATCAGTGTGATAGACTTTGAAGAAATCCACTGGTTCTTTGAAACTCTGTGGTTTAAGTCGCTAATAGATGTCACTGCTGCTTCCACAGCTGCTTGTATGTCTTTCCAAGCAACATCTGGGTCAGCCTCGTTTTCAGAACTACCTAAGCGTGAACTTAGTTGTTATTGGAACCTATTTTTGGTTTTCTCGTTACTCAACTCAGTTCTAATGGGTCTTTTCAATGTGGCTTTTTTGCGTCCGGTGAGACGCAAGCAGATGCGTGCCCGTATTAAGGCGTGGTCGGAGTCCAAGCAGGTACTCCAGAATGAGCGACAATCTTCTACCAACCCTCTCCAACGATGACTGATGGCAATATGGTCTATTGGAGTCCATCGTTGGTTTGGTGTAGGGGGTCGCCATGTTAGACGATGTCTCTCCTTATGCTTAAAATTTGTGTTTGCTAAAAATAAGCGATTGTCTGAGCACAGTTGCAGCAGACGATCACCATTATCTGTTCGCTGTGCCGGAATGCTAAAATATCCACCTAAATGCCTTTCTGTGTGGTTTAAGCTACCTATCTGAGCATTAAAGTCACCCCCTACGAGTACTCTGTCTGAACGTTTAGCTTTCTGAAGAAGTTCAGATAGCTTTCTGTAAAATTCATCTTTCATTTCATCTGAGCTGCAGTCGGTGGGAGCGTAGGCAGAAACGACAAAAAGGCAACGACGTGTGTCCCTATCCTTCCGAGTTCTTACGGAGCCGTTTAGCCGAACAGCACATAGACGACTGTTGACGGGGATCCATTCTAGCAGTGCTTGTTCCGCCCTCATGCTTAGTGCTATGCCTACACCTGCCAGTCCACGAGAACTGGCCATAGGGTCACCAGATACACGTAGGGTGTATCTCGTTGGCTCTCCGTTTTGCCGAGGTGAGTTCAAGTGAATGACCACACTGGAATCGTGTATGCGTGTTTCGGAGACACAGCATACATCAATGGAAAGAGACTCTAGGGTTTTAGCCAAGGAAGCCTGCTGACCGATTTGACATAGAGTGCGTACGTTGAAAGCTCCAATGTGTAGTTTGGAGCGAGGTTTCAGTAGACCTGGGACAGAGTTTTGAGCACTAGAATCGTTGGCTATGGTGACACTTGAGGAGGAAGCCGAAGGAGGAAGTTTAGGGTTGAAAGTCGATGTAGGAGGAATAATAGGAATTGAAGAGGAAGGTTGATTATGAATACAATGGTCTTGGGTGCTGTTAGAGGTATGAGGGCGGTTATCACTTCCCGGTTGCCCACACCGTGGAAGGGTTCTTCTGGAGGTACCTGAAAAAGAAATTGGATTAGAGGTGGTCTCAACGATCTGAGAGCGTGACCGCAGTGCCCAAGGGACAACTGCTTGAGGCCGGTCGCGCACGGCCTTTTCGTGGAAGGTTTTTGACATGTTAGCTCCGTTCTTCAAAGGGCCTTACCGCCGGAGACGGAAATCCGTAAGGTAAGGTAAGGTGTGCATTTTTAGGGTCGACCTTTTCTAACCCCACCCCTCCTTGTGGGAAGGCAGCATCGCTGTCATGCTGGTTGTCTGAAGGAAACACCTTACTGCTGTCACACCTCTGTACAGTCAGCAGTACGACTTCGCTTTCGGACCTTAGGTTTGTTGCTTTTAGTCTTACCGCTCTTCAACCGACCTGTCTGACATGGTAGGACCTTGAGGAACGGTTGTTCCAGCCAGTATAGCTCGGTTGCTTCATCACGATAGGCAAGCCCGACCACCACGTCAAGGTAGCAACAACGGTCGAGAATATGTGTATGTTCGTTATGAAAAACTTTGAATCATGATATTTAAAAAAATATATGGTCTATTCTTTTTGGGATTATTTTCTTTTTTATCACTTTACCCTTTTAGTTGAATGATAACAAAAATCTTTCATCAGATGATTGTACAATAGAGTCTAATTCTGTCCTAACGGATATCGCAGCTTTACAACGACAAAGAGCTTTCCTTCAAAAGCAACTAGATGAAGAAGCCCGTCTAGATGCATGGCGTCGTAATGCTATTAGACAAGCAGCATCTGGTGGACAGAGAGCTGTTGAGATTGAAGTTAGACCAATTTATTTATTACCGGATACAAATTGTTATATTGATTGGTTAGAAGGTATTGCTACATTAGCTCAAAAATCTTCAAATTACACTGTACTAGTTCCTATTGTCGGTAAGTTCAATATGAATATTTCTTATTACACTATCGAAATTTATCAAGGGGACTAATTGCTTCAAACCTATTTATGTGTTTCAAGGTTAATCGAGTCAATCTATAAAAGACCATAGTCATTTAGTGACCCTAGATCTGACTCCGATTTAGACGAACGAATAATCCCTTATATTACACGTGGGTTAACTTCGTTTGGGCAACAGCTTTAAAAAGAAGCTAATGTGGATTAAATTCGATGAATTAATTTCATGCACTCATTCATTCAGACAGACATTAAGATGAGAATCGGGAAAGCGTAGTGAAACAGACCAGGCAAATGTGCCAACTACATTTGATAAAGCGTGACTCACTATTTATAGCTAAAGGCAAGTTATGAGTAAAGTGATAAACATACACACTTACGCTCATATAAAAATAGTCAAGATTATAAGCGAATAGTTGACAAGATCAAAATATGTGTGGATAATGACTCGAGAAGAATTAATCCATCCAAAAGCCAGAATAACCCATGTCGGTATGAAATAATACTAGACACCAAAGTCCTAGGTTTTGTGCTAGTTGGCATTTGCCAACAAAATATACCTATAATTGTGAGAGAACTTATGCTCCTTGTGGGATTCTGACTTAATTTGTGTCATCTCATAGTTTGAGATTTTATCACTGAGTTAGTAAAGTTATGACCGACATCCTAATGGATTAAATGTACATGAGTTATAAAGATCAGAATAATAGGCTTATAATCAAGAAAAAATCAAAATCACATAAATTAAATGTTGATAGATACATTTTTCAATATTTAAATACTGATATCCCAAAATCAGCTTTTAAAGTTTGGTATCTTCTCTTATTCGTCTTATTTCAACAGATATGCTGAACTCTTGAAGCATGTAATAAAACTATCGAGACTGTGTATAAACGTATATAACTAACCAATCAGAGCTAGTCGAAAAGATCATAACATCTGCCTGTGTAAAAATTATAATTACATTAACGTTTTCTTACTGCATAAACCTAATTAATTTGTTGTTTTGTTTGGGATATGTCTATTACCCTACTTTTCTAAGTGGTGCTTTGAGTCAGGAACTAGTCGATCAGAGTTAGAGTGCTCAAGGAATACTAGGTAATGGAAATATACTAGATCAAAGCAGGTGACTTAACAACCTGTCATTTGAATACATCGACTCTAGTTGAAAGACCATATCAGGACGAGATGAAATTATGGAGATGAATACTAGGTTCTAATATTAGTAGTGTTAACGATAGTAAGGACGATAAGGTATAGAAAATATATGGTTCCATAAGAATAAATTTGTGAGATAAAAAGACTCAGAATCCAAAAAGGGAGAACTCGCCTGTACCATTGCGACTGATTTTAAGCTAGGTTGATTGTAATGCACCCCAATATTATGTTGTCTTAATGACTGCATTACAACCCGTTAGCGTTTGCCAGTTTATTTATGTATGTGTGTGGACACACGATTGTAAGCAGGACTAATCGATACATCCATTTGAGTTTGATAAAACGTACAGCCTACATATCAACTTACGTCACAACATGCTGCAACCTCATCAATAGAATCCAGTCAGTATTAAGGACTAGACAAACTTGACATTCATCATTGCTTATTGAAATGGCTTGCTAACTTAGTTGAGGGGATTGTCGGATAATCACTACTGAACATCCATTTACATCGTTTTGATGCATCAAAGCTCCATCAGGACCAAAGAAATTTCATCGCATATGATCTTCCAAGCAGTTGAGAACCTTTACAACTAGAAATCAGCATCCCATGTCTACCTGTAAAAACGAAATTTCTAAAAAATTGCGTCGTAAATTTTACGTATTTATTCCTAGAGATGCTGTATTTTATTGTATCTCAGATTTGAATTTGGACAGCCGGATAATTTCAACTTTGACTATCCTTTAGTAAGAGTATAGTTCAGTTGACTACTTAAAAAAGCCCTTCATTTCATTGCTCATTATTATTTATTTGTTCTTATTTATAGTTGTCAATGAATTAGATAGTTTAAGTCGTTTTGGCAGTAGTAGTTCCGGCGGCGGTGGAGTTGATCGTCCATATGAAGCAGCTGTTGGCGGTGAAGTAACACGTGCTGGTTTGATACAAGAACGTGCAAAACTTGCAATCAATTATTTAGAATATCAATTTGATCATCGAAACTCTCGTTTACGTGCATTAACAGCACGTGGTAGTTTAATGGAGACTATTGCTTATCGAAATGAAATTAATGGTGGTCGAACACCTGGTCAAACAAATGATGATGTAATTCTAACATGTTGTCAACATTTTTGTAAAGAAAACTCAGATCGTTTTCCATTAAGAAATCTTACTCAAGGCGTCGATCATTCTATGCAGGGCGATCAAAATAGTAAGTTTGAGTAATTGTTTATATATAATGTGGGTTTTTTTGTTCATTACAATATACGTAGTTCAATCTCAATATTCACTATTAATTTAGAAAATAATAGCTTTTTTAATGATGAATTGATGTCCTATTGTTTCATAAGGAAATTATTATTATTATTATTATTATTATTATTATTTATTATTATTTTAACACATAAATATTGGTACAAGAGAGCGCCAATATATATGCGCCACACAAAACAATGTAACTTCGAAGAGATAGAAAAAAAAAAAAAACTAAGGAGCACAAAAGAAAAAGAGAACGATAACGAAGAGATTGGTGTAATTTAGTGTGGTCGTAACAGTGGAACGGAAAAGTACAATCAGAAGAAATCTTTCAAGTGAGGGAGACACAACCACTTTTTATGAAGAGAGTAAAAGAAGGTTACAGCAGGATCGCCACTGGCTTCTATTCTGAGCCATATCTGATAACGTCTCTAGCCACTGTGTAGCACTATCTCTCAGACCCCAACCAGGGAGTCGTGAAGGACCAACACAAGCCAGTCCTCTGCAGCTTTCTTTCATACCACGACACCATGTCATGCACTGACCACCTCTCCGCTTTTTCCAACCAGTCCCAGAGTCGGCAAATAATGCACGACGTGGAATTCTCTGGGACGACATTCGTAGAACATGTCCAAGCCACCGAAGTCGGTGTTTCAAGATGGTGACACCAATTGAATTATCATCTCTGTGCCCAAACACATGATGCCGAACCTCTGCATTACTGACATGGTGTTGCCACTGAATATCAGCAATCCTTCGGAGACAGCGATGATCGAACACAGAGAGTCGTCTAACGTCCTCAACTCGGAGAGGCCAGGTTTCACAAGCATAGAGCAAAACTGCTCTCACCGACGCGTTGTAGATCCGACCTTTTACAGCCAGACTAACATCACGAAGGCGCCAAAGATGGCCCAGATTGGCATAAGCCACTCTGGCTTTCACTATACGTGCATTGATCTCATCACTCACACCCCCACCAGCACTTATGCAACTACCCAGATACACGAACTTCTCGACTACTTCTATCTGCTCACCATCCAGGGTGAGTACAGGATTGGAATCCTGCCAGTCTTGTAGAAGTACTTTGCACTTCGAAGGTGCAAAACACATACCATACCTACGGACACTGATTGCCAACTGATTAAGTGCGGATTGCATGCCTTGGGCATTATCGCACAGTAAGACAATATCGTCCGCATACTCAAGGTCGAGAAGTCTTTCTCCAGGTAACAGATCCACACCACCATTACTTACATTCATCAGAGCTGTTTCCAGAATGTCATCGATGGCAAAGTTGAAGAGGAATGGTGAGATTGGGCAACCCTGCCTAACCCCACTACTCGAATGGAACAATGGAGAGAGGTGGTTGTATGCCCTCACTCTGCCTGAGGTGTTTTTATATAGGGCTTTTAGGATGTTAATAAACTTCTCAGGCACACCCTTCTTCAATAGACAATCCCAGAGAACAGTCCTGTCCAACGAATCGAAGGCAGCCCTGATGTCAAGAAACACTACGATTGTTGGCCTTTGATAAGTATGGCGATGTTCTAACATTTGGCGGAGGGTGAAGATATGATCAATACATCCTCGACCAGAACGAAACCCAGCCTGCTCCTCGCGAGTCAATCTTTCCCGAGTTTTGAACAACCTACGAAGTATGACGGAAGCCAATAGCTTGGACGCAATCGGAAGTAGACTTATCCCCCGATAGTTGTTACAGGAACGACGTGAACCCTTTTTAAAGATAGGGACAACTATCGACTCATTCCATGACGTTGGTACACTCTCTAGTTCCCAAACCTTTGTAAACAACGTCGTCAATTCCTTAGTCAAAAAGTCACCACCATCTTTAAAAAGAGCCGGAGGTCAGTCATCTGGGCCAGGTGATTTGTAACGCTTTAAGAGTTGGAGTTCCTTGCGGACTTCCTCCTCGTTTGGTGGATCAGTCGTCACCGGCCATGGGGGGCATGACAGCCTGACCGATGTTGCCGGAGCAGCAGGCCAGTTGAACTGCCCTTCAAAAAATTCTGCCCATCGTCCAAGACGTCGATGGATGTTAGTGATTGGCATCCCATCATCCTCGCAGATTGTTTCACTCACACCAGACTTCTTGCTGCCAGTGGCTCGGATGAGCTGGAAGAGCTTCCGGAAGTTACCAGATGCAGCTGCTGCTTCCAGCTCATTAGCACGCTCCGACCACCAGGCTTCTCGATCCTTACGCAAGCTTTGCCCAATTTCCTTACGTAACATCCTTCGTTTATGGTCAAACTCAAGGTCACCCGGATTAGACCGACGGGCTTCAATGAATTGTAAGGAACCTGAAGAAACGCAGTGCTTAAAAGCGGGACGTTTCGCAAACCCACAACTGACTGTTCCCGCCATTTTCATGGCGTCAAGCAATTGCAACCAATGCTCATCTATACTTTTCGGTGGAGTGGTAGCTAGCCTAGAGGCTAACTCGGTTCGATACTTATTTGCAACAGAAGTTGCAACCAGCTTGCTAACATCAATCCGTTGGTGGCGGTCACTTCGTTGTCCACTGAAAAGTAAGGCAAGATTGGCGCAGACCAAGGCATGGTCAGAGTCCAGATAGGTACTCCAAAAGGAGCGGCAGTCTTTTACACAACCACGCCAGCGGAAGCTGATCGCGATGTGATCAATCTGAGTCCAGGCTTGGGATGCAGAGGGAGGACGCCAGGTGGCACATCGGCGATGACTGTGCCGAAAGTTAGTGCTAGCCAGAAACATCGTTTCTCACGCCGATTTCTTCTCACTTTGATGGAACTTTCTAATCTAACAGCACATAGCCGACTGTTAATGGGGATCCAATCAACTAGTGCTGCCGCTGGTTTTAAACTCACGATATTGAGTGTTCTGACACAGTTACACCATTTAGAAAGCCATACATACCAATATACGCTGATTAGAGTGGTGAAATGTTTTTTCGAAGAAACAAGCGATGACTAGTATAGTTCAGTTATGTCGGGTGTGAGACTGTTATCCGCCGTAGATAGTAAATGAGGGATGCATAATCTAATGAATTGAATCATCAGATTCCGGCTCAGTGACCTAGAAGTTAAGTGTTTGTGCGCGAGACCTAAGATCTTAAATTTAATTCCTAGGTGCGGTGCCCTGGACATACATTGCTAAGGAGTCCCATACTAAGACGAAACAGGCATCTATTGTTTTCACGTTTTCAACAGTAGTCTAAGATCAGTTTGTGATTTAAACAATAAAAAGAAATTGAAAGTTTCATGTCTATTTCACAAATATGTTTTCTTAAATGTAAACGGTTAATTGAAGCATAAATTGCAACTCTCCGGGACGTATTATATCGGGATAATCTTGCTTGAGTTATCTGGGGGTAAAATAATAATCTTATTATATTTCCAGCTGTTTTATCGTATGTTAAGTGTTTATAACATTGGTCTGTATCGCACCGGGACGCCTTCATGATCCTACCTGATGTGTGGGCGAAAATGATAATGATTGGCTGTCTGCTTAGTCAAACATGTAGATAGTCTGACAAGTGTCAGATGAGTTATATATTCCCCTATCGTTATTATTATTACTCACTTATTATTGATTGTTCTTCGTTGTTAGATTGTGTCGGGTTTTTAGTGTGGAAATATATTTACGTTGTGGCGTCAGGCTAATCACGTGTTCTTGATTTGAGTTGTGTTGAAGTCCTGTAGAAGAGACACTGGGATGAAATCTAGTGTAGATATTCGTCCCATACATGTAAACGTGGAAACCCAACTGTTATAACATTGGACGAAGTAAAACTGAGCGTTATAACACTACCTAAATTCTATATAAACAGATTCATTTGTTAGTGTGATATTAAAGTATGCCACTCAACTATGTTTGATTCTGTAAACTCAAAGAGAATTTCGTTAACTAGTTGAATAGAAAATGATCCAAGGGAATCTGCCCTAAAGATTTTCAAGTTTTAGTGGTCGGTATACTTTCCCGCCAATAGGTGCAGATAATATTCCCATCAAACAGTAAGTCAAGCGTTCAGTCGATTTCAACTGTGGGGAAGCATATATTAAGACAAACTGTCTTATTATTCAACAAACTAGTAAACACTACGTTCTAGACTATATTAAAATATGAAAAATTATTATTAAAAATCTCTGCAACTCTATGGTTTGTTATTGAAAGATTTAATTATCTATAAGATGATTTCAGAAGAGGTTAAGTGATTAAGCGCTCGCGTGCGAGACTGATAGGTCCTGAGTTCGAATCTCTCGAGGCGAGGTCGTGGATGTGCACTGCTGAAAAGTCTTACAATAAGACGAAACGACCGTGCAGTGCTTCCAGGTTTTCCATGGTGATCTATCTTCAATTGATTCATGATCTTAACTATCGAGATATAAAATAATTGTTTAATTATATTTTATTTAATTTATTTTATACAGATCAACCAATGCGACTTGTTCGTGAAGTAGTTCTTTTAACTTCCGATCGTAATTTACGTCTCAAAGCATTGAATGTTAATATTCCAGCAAGACCTTTAAGAACATTTGTCAATTGGTCTCGATTACCTTTAGTAAAAATAAATTTATCTAATGAAACATTATCTGATACTATAATAACTATGAATTCAACTGATAAACATAAATTATCATCAATAAATCATTCAACTAAACCACAACCACGTGGACAATGGAAACAACCATTAAAATATAATTAATTAATTCAAAAATTGATTATTTTTAATTGTTTCTTTTTTTTTGTCCATCTACTCACCATTTTTTTATTTATTTTGGAGATATTTTCATTCAACATATAGTTTACTCATTAACTTTGACAATGTCTTTGTAAAGAATAATAAAGTGTGGATAAAGCATTTCATTTAATCACAATTTAATGTATTTCATTTAATTCAATGTATTCACCTTCATTTATATATGCATGACAGGTATCTATGTTTTACTATTGTCTAAGAATTCTTTTTCATTCCTATTCTCACATGCGTTGTTGTTACCATGGCTACTGAAAAACTGTAAATTATCTTGTAATATTAGGTTCTTTTTTTCTTCTTCTTCTTATGTAATTGTGTTTTTTTTCTTAGTCATTTATCCTCTTGTTTATTCATGTTTGTATAGAGTTGGTTTAGTTTTCTTTTTCTGAAATTATTTATATTCCCTCTCTTTTTCCTCTTGTTATTAATTACTTAGGTTCTATAAGACTATCAAATTATTGTTACTTATTAATTTGCTACTTACTACTTACAAATCTTAGTAATGAAATATACATATATTTATGTATACACAGTATTTATAAATATTATTTATAATAAAACTTTATTCTTATTGAAATATATTTTCATTTGCATGTTCAGGTAGTTTTTCTGTGTGTGTGTGTGAGTGAGTGAGGGTGTATATGTACTTGGTAACTTTCATGTTGATGGTATCTTGTTTTTGATTCGTAAAATTCAGTCACTTTATCGTATGTATGATTAATCATAGTGATAATTACGTGATTTTAGTGAATGACAATTCAATCACTCATGAATTTTATACTGGTGTGCATTCTGTAATTATTTTCAGAATATATATGTATAATAAGTGATATCATTTGTGCCAAGTGATATTTCATCTTTTTCTTTGTAAATAATCAATTCTAACACTGAGTACTCAACTATTGGTAAACAAAGAAGTGTAATGCTGAGATTTTACAAATACATTCTTCCTTTTTAATGTCTCACATTAACTCGGCGCCCAAATATTGTGAAACTATTCGTTCAAATTTAGACAAAAGTTCTTATTGACGTGTAATGCTGTTTTTGCTCAACAGGATTTTCATTTGAAATTTATTTTGTTTTATTATGAATGTATTTGAACAAGCTCTTAGAAAGAAATCTCACAATAACACATGCCATGAAATTATAATGCTGTGTTAATGTTTTAACAATCAATAAACATCTGGATACTTACCCTTAGAGTTGTAGATTCAACAATTGATTGATTATTTCTCCGTGACCATTGTCCTGTGTACCTACTTCTTTAATGCTAATTGAATTCTATCGGTCAAGTTGTAATCACTCAGTGGTAGCTTTTCAGATTATAAAGCTGTGTGAGATGGGCTCGATTTCACTAGAAACCATTAATTCTCTCAACATTTCAGGTATGCCTTGCTAGTGATTGTTAATAGCACAAAATCTATACGCAGATTTCCTGTCAAATACTTCTAACCATCTAACATCTTAGTCATATATATTTAAGCTATGATCCACACACTTTAGTTTTCCGATGCAAAGTATCACTATACGTAACATGAAATGTATAACTCAAAACTGAGTACCCTGCTGTTCTACTTGAAAAATAATCAAAATAAGATTGTGAACGGAAACAACTGTATATTAATGGTCAAGACACGTCATGCTTTCATCATGTTTCGATCACCATTATCCAAGCATGTTCCTGATTCCGCTTATCAGTTTCTGGCTGATATTCATTTTCCAATCATATCAGTGCATTTCGGTAACATTTCAATTAAATCTGCATCTTAGTGGCCGAAAGTTAAGCTCTTTAACCACTAATTCACCGCTCTACTACATAAAGCCTACCTGTTAAGAAGTTATCGACCTTTGATAGTTTTTGACACTTGTCATCGAAGTTCTTCTAAAGTCACAGAGATGTGCTAAATTTGAGTTTTATTTGTGAATCGTGGTACTTTATCGTAGTGATCGAACTAAGTCACTATGTCAAGATTAATATACTCCCTTATTATAATAAGGATAATAATGATAACCTATCATCTGGATCTTGGTAGGTCAAATGATTTTCAAAATTACAGCTCAGTAGTTGAAAGATAAAGTATTTAGTCACGTAGTCACAAATTTACTAAGATGGTGGTTGGAAGTAGTCGACAGGACCTTGGACCTAGGTTTCGTGCTACTTGGCATTCGTCAGCAAGGTGTACCTGACGTTGCCACTCAGCTATCCGGGTCGCTGACTGTGAAGTTGTGTGACACGGGATCGAATCCATCAGGCGACATCAGTTCTCTCAAAATAACAGGTACACCTTGCTAAAGATTACCAAACAGCACGAAACCTAGGTCTAAGGTCCTGTTGACTACCTCTCATTCACCATTTTATCTCAACACGCAATGTCAAGTCACCTAGACTAGTGACCACATTACAACTTGGTCGATAGGATTCGATCTGCACTAACAAAGATCTGACATACATCACATTGATCATCATACAGTGATCAATCAGTTGTAAACAAACTCACTATGATGTAGTAACCAGTATTATAAGATTTGTTATCATGTGATGTTCACTGATGCGATGTTCAATGGTATAGGAGTAGATTTCCTGATTCCTCCTTGTCTCTTTTCTTTTCTCTTCCCAAATTTATTTCACTGTATTATACTCCTTGAATAAAATCTTCAAACCCTAATGTTTCCGATTACTGCTTATACTCTTACTACTTCTACCACTATGGGATTTGAATCGACCACTGCATCTCTGTGCTAATGTGGTGTGGCAACTCGAACTGATGTACGTACGTAAGACGTTCTACGTTGTTACTGATTGACTGGCTGATCATGTGATATACATAGGTAATTCCATTTATGTATACCTAACAATCTATTGTATGTACATGATTTTTTTTCTTCAAACATATTCATTAATTAAATTCATCAGTTAATTTTTTTTATTATTTTAGATCAATTATGACTACTAATAAAGAAATAGTTCCTCAATCGATCAATCAAAATTCTCCTCTTACAAATTCATCATTGAATAATAATAATAATAATACATCGACAAATGCACGTGAATTATGGGAAACTGAAAATAATGTTGAATCAATTTTAGGTCCAATTGATGAATATTTTAAATATGATGTAAAAATTCATCAATCTATTGTTAATGCTAAACCATGGGAAAAAGATCCACATTATTTTAAATGGATTAAAATATCTGCGGTAGCTTTATTAAAAATGTTAATTCATGCTAGATCTGGTGGTAATCTTGAAGTGAGTTAATTTCTTTCTTGTTTTTTTTTTGTTTATAGTAATAAGTAAAAAAATTATTCTACAAATAATTATCAGTCAGTCAGTTACAATGTAAGATCAAGCACATAAATTCATCAGTCCAAGTTGTCATTCCTCATTAGCACCACAACAAGATAAATACCGAATTCATAGTAGTTAGTCAGTCAGTAACAACGTAGAACTTCGTAGGTACGTACGTCAGTTCAAGTTGCCATATCACTAACACAGAGATGCAGTTTTCGATTCAAATCCAATAGTAGTAGAGGTACTAAGAGTATAAGCAGTAATCGGAAACATTAGGGTTTGAAGATCCCATTCAAGTACAGTGAAATAAATTTGGAAAAAGAAAAAAAAAGGGACATGAAGAATTCAGAAGATTAGGATTTGGGAGAGCACAAACAGTGGATGCACTTGCACCACTGCAAACGATTTTGAGCCATGTCATAGTAGTAGTTAATTCAATAGTAGTAATATATAAAAGAAAGATTTCATATAAGGATATAGTAAAGGAAGGGAGAATTAGTTCGTAGAAATAAAGATATGAAGCGATTTTAATCTCATACCTTAAGCGAAGACAAAGAGTCTATTCACCGACGGCACTGTGATCGATTCTGAGCCATGTCACCCAGAGTCTCAAAGCATTGGTCTTTTGTTTACATTTAATTGTTTTGAAAAAAATTGTTAACTGGACACTGATTTGCGTGTGTGTGTGTATTTGGTCAACTAGTCAGATTATTCATTATCTATGATCCAAACTCCTGTGAATTTATGTGTGCAAACTGTTAACAAATCCAATTTTTCCTGGTTTGATAAAATTTCCGTAATTGCATACATGGCCAAATGTACTTTTTTTTCCATATTTTTTATTCACTCAGCTGAATTTGATTATTGTGTAATTCACTTAATTCTGTTGTGACAGTCAATCAGCTACAATGTATAACTAGGCACACACATATGCATAGGTCCAAGTTGCCATACCTCATTAGCACAACAATATGAATACCGAATTCATAGAAGTAGTTAATTCAATGATAGTAATATATAAAAGAAAGATTGTATTTAAGGATATAGTACAGGAAGAAAGAATGAGTTAATAAATAGAAAGATCTTAAATAGAGCAAGAACAAAGATTGATGCAGAATAATAAATGAATTCATTTTATTTCATTAAGTTCTCATCAGCTGCTTACAACTTAAAATATTTGAAAATCAACATTATTACAGATATTGACATACTTTATACATAAGTATGAGGTTGATTAAAGATGTATCATGATGTAATGAAGATTTCAATAAAGTTAATAAGGTTATTAAATAATTTTGTTTCGGATAAATAAATAAAGTTTTGGAGGAAAAGTTCCAGAACATTGAAATAATGATTAGAATTCATAGATTTAACAAACATTAGATGATTGCATAATTAAGTAACTGAAAATAGATAGTAATAAAGAAATCAGTCAGTTATGAATGATGTAATTTTAAACTTCAGAGAGAACTGGAATAATGAATGACACAATGAATAAATAAAAAATAAAGGGGGTGTGTGGTTATGTTACCAGGGCAAAGAAAGATTTATTACTGTGTCTTTTTGTATACATAGATCTGGTTTTAGACGTTTGATTGCTATCGTTTCAGCAAATTTCAAAAGGTTGGAGTTTGATTGTTTGTTAATTACCTGGAAGG